TTATCTGGAGATATTCTTTTAAATGTGACATCTTCTCGATATGGTTTAGGGGCATTCGCAAAGATCTGAAAGCTATTTTGTACAAGTTGCCATTTCGGCTCAAAATGTTTGCCTATTAATACGAGATCATCGTTTTTGATATAACGATTTCCTTTCTTACCTTTAAACATTCGTTGTAATTTATTACCCAGCATAAGATTAATTACCATATTGGTTTTTCCGCTATTGGACCCTCCACATACCAGTAATCTGAATGGACAGTCGGGGGCATATTTGTTAGATTTCATTCGTTCTGAGGAGTTTTTAGATGTCTCATCGATATTGTATACAAATATGGGCATTTTTTCTTCTTTCATTCCGAATAAACTAAGAATACTAATCTATTATATCGAAAAAATATTAATCGAACCAGATAAGCATTTAAAGTTTTAAGTTTAATCAATAAGACCCAATTCTCGAAGATGTTCCTGAATAACTATATATGGGTTTTCATAGTCGAAACATTAAGAGATTCCAGATGACAAATTTGCGTAATCTTACTAACAACTCTATCAGATATACCACAACACCATTTGATTTTTAGATGTCGTAAATTGGGACAGGATCTAGCAATTCCATATAGCTCATTACTAGAGACCTTGCAACTAGAGATATGAAGTCGAAGTAAATATAAAGCATGAGGTTTTCGATTGCCACACATTGTTTTTTTGAATTTACTCCACCGCATATATGATTTTTTTAGATCACTGGTAAATTCAGCCTTTCTCCATAATATTGGAGCAGAGCATAAATACCACAACCGGTTAACAAATAGGGTCGGGTATAATGCTTTGTCTTCAGTAAGATATGAGAAAATTTCAGTTAAAAGTTCAGGCAAGGCAAGTGGATGAAGTTTATTATATGCCATACTTATCTTATGAGTTTATTCTTTATGCGATAAATAACCTTTTTCAATAAGTATATTTTTAATAAATTCATATAAATCAGCATCAAAGCCAATTTCAATAAGATCTATACCTCGCTCTTTGCATATATCCCGCTTTTTTTGGTCGCGCTTCCTTTGATTATCTAGATCATTTTGATTTTTGTGATATAAACTATTGCGATAAAAATGTTGGACTCCATTATACTCCCATGCTAATTTTAGTTCTTCGTTATACCCATCTAATTGCATCCCATTCAAAAATGACGGTTTACAAGATGGAAATTTCTTACCTAACAGATCCTCAAAAATATATCTACATCTTCGCTCATTAGTGTGATGAAAACATAGTGGGCACCATTCGAATTTCTGCTTCTGAATTTTATAAGGCGCTTCCCACTGATGGAGTCCATTTTCGCAAGACCAGAGATATATATCGAACCCATTTATATGGCCAGTTTTACCAAGACACTTACCACCACGTTTTTCAGCATATGCAACGGCTTTAGCCATTTTATTAATAATACGAACGAAATTAACAGACCTGGAACGAGTATTTTCTTCCAATATACTCTGGGGCGGATACTGAAGCGTATTAATATTCACATATAAGAGTTCCTCTCTCACAAATCCACGCTTTGG